GGCAGTTTGAACTACTAATTTACGGCGGTAAACCGGTCTACGTAAAATACACGGTTTTTAGGACGTTTTCAGACAGTTAACTGTCAGTCAATGGTTTAAATGGTACCCTAGAACATCTTTTGGTTTTCTAAGTTACGTTTACCGGTATTTCTTGCTCATACGTGAAGGACATTCCAGAAAGTCTTCTGTGGTTCGTTTTCCCCGTTCCGTGGGTGACATAGGATAGAAGGTAGTGTCAAAGTATAGCTTAAAGCCCTTCCTATATCTCTCAAAAATTGGCATCTAGGCAGACATTTGGTGAAAAAACCAAAGTGCCCTTTTTCAAGACGTACTTTTTCCTTTGACTTTAGTCTAGGGTTTGACAAAATGGTCATTGTCTGTGTACAATACAAGCTCAAAATACGGAAAAACGGTTATCAAGCATGGGTATTCTGTAGATAAGCCAATCAAAAGAGAGAAAAATAGAAACTGCTTTTTTAACTACGAGAGTGAAAATATTCAAAGAGATGACCTGAAACACATATTGATCAAGAGAAATAAAACCTCAGGAAGATGTTTCTGCAGTTCAGAGGTAGACGTCGCGAGAAATTAGTTAATTTTGATTACAGAAAAAAAAGTCGTCTAAAAAGTAATAAATTTGGCGTTATGATAAATTCTGACAACTCGATTTATGCCGTCATTCATCAGTTTGATCGAAGTAAACATATGTTAAATACAACTGAATTTTGTCAGTCCTCAAAGTAAATGTGTATTTTTCGTTATTCTCATTTTAAATGAGGATGTAGAATAACAGTGTTCGTTTATATATAGTATCTAACCGACACTCGCAACAAGAAGTGCATTAAGCACGTTGTTTATTTTCTTCATCACATTCATTCATCACTAAAGTACAAGTCTATCATGTGCGACAGAAATTTCCACGCTCCGTTTTTGTTTATCTTTACTAAAAGATATGCATATGTAAAAAGAGACACCTCCTTATTTGCTAATTCTATATTATGGCGTTTAAATACTTGTCAATGCAAAACAAAACCGTGATTGACTGGTTCAATTCTGTGCATAAGAACTTCATCTTTTTTCCTGAAGAAATCGGTGTTTCTCCACAAGGACATCATGTTTTTTCGTGAACTAATCGGTGGGTATTCACAAGTATTAAATTTACTGATTTCTATCTGTGTATTCTTTCCATAACCGATTTGAATTTTTTGCATGTGCACACATGTTTTGATATGCTCTACGGACTACTGCGGTTTGTATTCAACTTTTTCAATGGAATTCAGAAATAATAGAAGAACATTTTTGAGAAAGACTTGTCTAATCATGCGAGACGATCTGACAATTGATTGGCGAATATTATATTTCTGGGCTCAACGAATTTATAATAATCATGACAAAATCCATTCACTCGTTATTTTGCCCAAGTTCGTATAATTATCTCATTGAAGAAATGAAAGAATATATTGTTTTTTTCAGGATATATCCAGCTGTTGCTTTCTGAATGTGTACATGTTTGTTCTCCTTCCTTTTGGCAAAGGCTACTGAAGAAATTCTCGATGAATTACGTCCGCAAACGTATCCTACGGATCAAAGCTGTATCGATACTATGACGATGTTCGAACTTTTCCTTCCTGTTAATTTACGTCCAGATCTGCACAATGAAGGCTTTAAGTTTGTTCGTTTTCTTTTTTCTTTTTGTTTTCTGATACGTTCATCACTACAGATTATGGTTACCTGAGTTTTTGTCGATCTTGGAAAGTATCTCCAATCAAATAGTGTGGGAAACGGTGAGTTTTTTTTATCAGTTATGTTTATTGTGACCAATAATGTAATTTAGCATCTGATCAGAATCTTTTCATCATTAGCCTGGAATAACATTGGCTATATCGACTGAGAACCTTGGTTATCACAGGTGCCGAGATTTCTTCCTTTTTTTGTAGTATTAAAATCTTTCTCTGTTAGATCTTCACACGTACACTCAGAGGTTTTTCACTTCCGATAGGAAAAATACAAATGTTTTCACAAAACTAGCTATTATCTGTTAAAAATTTTATAGAGAACGCAAAGCTCGCCCTATTTGGTCCTTATGCTTATAACATGTGTCGATTGTTCATCTGCAGTAAACACTCGAAATGATCTAACAGCAGTAAGATTTAACTTTTATTTCGAAAAGAAGATGAATATATCTATTCTTGATTTTATAGATTGAAAAGGAAGTATGTTTATCAACTGTAAAATTTGAAGATTTTATCATTGAATTTCTCAATAAAATATTTCAAATGATTGAAATCCTATCAACAGATGTATCCGATGCTGTTTCAAATCATACAGATGATAACATGGAGAAAAGCACTATGAAATTGAAACTAGCATCAATTATGTTTAGTATTGTTCAGCAGTGCAGCAGCAGCAAAATCTTTCGAGTACATATCAAAATGGGTAAATCTCACTAACATGTTCATCAAATTTAAGTCAGAAGAAAAGTAATATTAAATCTGAATTTTTTTAGTAAAATTATTGTAATGTTGAATAATATATTCATTGAAATTGAGTATCAAGTTTAAATTGTTCTTTCATCGAAGTATCTATTTAAATATATTTTCTTTCCTAAAAATAATGTTAAATCGATTCGAGAATGTAACATCTAGTTTCTAATCTGCATCAAATAGATTAATGAAATGTTCAAAAATGAACTGAGATTGCATTGCATTCGTTATCTAATACAATTTAATATTCTTTACATATATGAATATTAAGAAAATTCTTGAGAAGATGATTAACTTTGCTATGGGTACATATTTATTTCCTAAAATACAAGGGATGATTTCATGCCTCATTCGACCATTGGTTAAAGATAATCCAACGGAAACATTAAAATATTTCTTGCCTAAAACGTGTGAATCCATCGAAAAAATATTGAACAATTCAGAATCAACTGTAATATTAAATGATGAGAAAGGTGATATGGAACTAATTTGGTATTTAATTCTCTTTGCGGAACTTGTTGGTGCTCGTGATGATACATTACTTATCTACAAACAAATGATTATGTTTGTCTTTCATGAATGTATTCATATCATTAACAAGAACTCATACGAAGCTATTGCTAACGCTGCTAAATATTTACTCGAGTCCTTCTCTCATACATATCCAATCGATTATCGACTTACGGTTGAAAACATTGATGAGTCGTTCATGAAATCTTTACCTATTCGTGTGAGATTTTATTCTCTTTTCAATATTCTCAATAGAATTAATTATTTCTATAATCAATTAGGCATGGAGACAATATGTCGATTTTGATAAACTTCAAGTTCAATTTCACATTCCTAATGTCGATGAAATTAATTTTGCTTGTGAATTTGTCGATACATTCATCTATCCTGAATTGATTTTATTGAATGAAAAAGGTTTAAAACTAAATAATGAATGATTAAGATCACTGACTCTTATTGAGTCGATAACCATTGGATGTTTTTGCATGATACCACGTATTGAAAGCAAACAAATACAAAATCTGTGAGTAAAATTTAAATATGAAAGAGTATTTAAACAAACCTAAAACTTTCGTAGTATGCCATCAGTTGTTTCTTTGGATTGAAAATATCAAATAAAATTTTCAATCTATTCAAAACAGCTAAGTAAGAAAAACAGTTTCACATCGTTTTTTTCGAATTGTTATTCATGTTCAGAATTCCGAGAAAACCTACGAATGCGTCTTCTCATTGATATTGGAAAATTACTCGGTAAATCTTCAATTGATAAGTAAATATAAAGAAATCATCTTTTCTCTATAGATCTGCTTGTAGAAAACCATTTGGATGATGTTTCATCGATAATCCGAGCTTTGAGGGTAAACATAGACTACGCCAATGTTTCATTCTAAGGTCTATGACTTCATTTGTAATTTTATTCATTGATATCTATGTACTATGGTGTATGCAAAGATGCAGATTACTATTTGCTTGATAATTTGACATCCCATGAATGGTTATTAAAGAATAAACTCTGTGGCGAAGGGCAAAATATTCGTTCATTGACGATTCAGAAAATGGCACATCAAATTAAAGTAATCGAAAATGACCAAATTAAATTAATCGTAAGAATCGTTCTCTGTTTTTAGAAATTAGAACTGAATAATTTCGAAACATTTTGTGATATTGACAAACAAGTTGAACACAAATTGTTCGAACTACCGATTGATCAATATAGTGAAGTAAATGGGACTTTTTTTTCTTATAACTTGAACATAGATATTCTTTTATCTACGTCTCAGGTACGGTGCAAAGCACAATGCGAACTCTTCTGTATGCTCAACCATTATGAATACTCATTTCAAGTGATTGTTGATCGTATTGTTAAATTGCTTAATACACTAGGCGAAGGCAATCATGATCAAATCAAAGTTCGTTATTACTCTTTCTTCATATTTTCAATTGAATCCGCTTATACATCACTTAGGGCTGTCTGTACATTCTTTTGGATAATAATTCTTTTTTCTTACCCACTAAATATTCATGGACAACGAAGGAAAAGTTATAGCAGTCTGTCTGATTCACTCGACCTACACATCTACAGTACCAACACACAACACAGCTCACATTTTTTTACATCAAAAAGGTTTAAAACTATCAAATAATGAATGATTAAGATCACTGACTCTTATTTACATCATCTACTTTTACATCAATAATGAGATTAAATCAAAAGTTATAGCCACTAATTGCACGCATGACTGATACAAACAGAATCAGCACACAAAAGTTGATCGAGACCATTAATAACAAACTTTGCAAAAACTTTGCTAGCGAGGCCATCATTCAAAACACCAATGACCTATCGATACATGCGGCTGTCGCTCTTTGGTATCCGTTAGAATCAAATGATATTAAAAAGCGTGAAGAACAGAATCCAGCGAACGTTCAGTCATATAATAATCTAATGGAAACACTTAATTCATTACTTAAAGACGATACACTGCAAGTCTTGTTTCATTTTTCTATTTCATGAGTTTTCCCTTTTGGAAATATTTGGGACATTGAGACAACAAAAAACAATAATGTCTTTCTTATGTCTTCTTCTTCAAAAGCAAATACCAATTCCATCGTCATGTATTAGAACATTCGTTAATTTTCTTCTTCATGAAAATGTTGAAGTACGAAAGGTTCGTTGAAGAGTTATGATAAATATATACGATCTTCTCATTCGATTTTTTTCAGTATGTCGAAAAGGGCATAGCGGCATTATGTCGTCTGCAAAAGCCACCTAGAATCTATCTCGAAAAATCTTTAGAAGAAATTCTTCCAAACATTGATAAATCGCTACCAGCCATTTCCACTAATGAATTTCATCCGGGTGATCGTACCGACAATTTATGGATAACAATCGATGATTATAAATCACCTCGAACACAGCTTGACTGGGAAGAAATATGTTTTTTGGATAAATGATTTTATGAATATTACTGTTGGCCAAAAATAAAGACGAAGACAAAAATGGGATATATTTCAATAAAATTCGATTTTCAATTTTCAAGGTAGACAAAAAAAACTGATTTGCTGAAAGATTTTCACAGCACTATGTTTTTCCAGGTGAAAATAAGCATGAAAAATTCTCTTTTGATCTGAACTATTTCAATTTTACTCAAACCTCAAGGTCCTTTTAGATAAACTGAACCTTTAAGGCTTTCAAGTTCAATCTTGATAATTATAGAATCGTTATCTAATCTGATAGTACTTCAAATAGTTTATAGAACTATCATTTAGGGTCTCTTTCGCAATTTTGGTCTTGCATTTCTCGATAATTTCATGGAACAACTCTATGTTCTTATTGGTGAAAACATAAAAGACAAAGAAAAAGGTAGTCATCGACTAACAGCTGAAATAGTAGCTGGAATGATTCGTGGATCAAAATATTGGACATTAGATATGGTTAGTGAATATTCTTCTTCTCTAAATGATTTTATTTTATTGAATATAATGATTTTCTATAATAAGTAAATTGTAATCTTCTGAAAAAAGGTTAAAGTTATTATCAAATACAAAAGAAACATTTCATTTAGCTTGACGAACTTTGGAAAAAACTTGAACCATTTCTTATGGAAGTTTGTAACAATCTTAGTTTTGAAACACTTTCCTATTAGATATAAATGTTTCACGTATACTATGATTAGTTGCTTTTCTTTATATTTCTTTGTTCAGCTTTTCTCTCTAAAAACAAATTTCTATATGTCAAAAGGAGAATATTGATCCTCGCCGAATGTATCGATTAATTGAGTTTATTCGTACATTGATCAATAATGAAACAATGTTAAATACATTCAATGGAATATCTCGTTGGTCGCTTATTGAAAATTTAACTTATTTTCAATGGCGTATTCCATCAATTTTGGGTCAGATTAATGAACATGCTAAAGTATTTCTTGATCATTCATCTAAAGGTATACGAGAACGTATTGCTTCGTAAGTAACAGATTTTAAAATTTATTAGTTCATGCTCAATCAAATCATTTCTTTTTTCATCAGTATGTTATCGAAATGCCAATCAATTTCTCGGTTCTATATGTGATCAATTGCATCAAGCCATTGAAATTTGTCAAAAGACATCGCTAAGTAAAATGAGATTTTGTTCTTTGTTTTATCTTTTTTTGAATGCCATTTTTAGTGATTCTTTCAAATCCATTTGTTGAAATTGATTTTGAAGCCCGTAAAGCATTGAATTTCATAGAAACAGGTAAACATGTCATGTTTTTCATCGTTAAGAAATACAAGATATATTCGTTTGTTTTTCTCTTCGATACAATCTAGTGGACAATTCTTCGTCAAATGTCAACAACCAATAAAAAATTCGACAATTCGTATGTTTTCCTATGCATGTAAATAGATTAGGCCTTTGCAAGCCTTTTAACTTTTTAACCCTTTGAGTCCCATAGTATAAAAAAAGCTACATCTGCTTTATGATTTTATTTCTACAGTTTTGACCTTTACGATATTTTTTCACGGTTTCAATTCCACAGTTCGCAAACTGACGGTTTTATGTTAGGGTTTTCCTTCGATGGTTCGCAAGTGGACGGTTTTGTTTCTATGGCTTTAACATTTACGGTTTTACTTCCATAGTTCTGATTTTATACTTCTGTATTTTACGGTTTTCGGAATGTAGTTTTTTACTTCATGGGTCTTCTGCACGATTTTCTTTCGATGATTATGGATTTTACGGTTTTTTTCAGCGTGTACAAAGGAACTAGGATTAAAAACTAGCAACTGCCGAAAAATTCCGAGTGTTACTCTTCGTAAAATTCAAACAGTGATACGGCTTCAGTCTCGGTCCTCTTGTCGCCCCATGGAAGCCATAAGTTCTGAACTGAAGCGTTTTTAGGGATGCCAGAACAGCAAAATCCGATCTGATGTAATAGTATCATGATACTATTACATCAGATCGGATTTTGCTGTTGGAATTGCTCGGATTTCTCTCCAGTCAGCAGTATGACAGCGCTTGATATATCAAGCGCTGTCATACTGCTGACTGGAGAGAGCATACAAAGTTGCATATTTCTATCTGCAAATGAGATTTTCTCCTCTGGCATTCCGAAAGAATTTTTTACTGGAGGACCTTATCTGCATTAACAGATATCACTCGTTTTATAGCGTATTGGACTAGCTCAAAATTTAACAAAACATAACGTTATTTATATTCAAACGGAAGCGGCCTCCTCTGTCGAAAGCTACACGTCAGCGAGATCTTGTTATCACACACTAGGTGACTAGTGCTACAAAAAGCGCAGGGTGTTGACTCTTGCTAGGTGGTTTTTCATGTGGCGGTTTTCTAGAAATCCCGTCAAAATCTAGTCTTACACACTTTTAGTAGGGCTATCGATTGCATAGAGTCAAACCTTCCCGGCTTTTAGCTCATGTAATACTGGGCAGAACTGTGCGGAAGTACCAAGAATTAAAAATGATATAAAATAAAACATACCTGGAATAAAAAGTATAAAGGCTAGAATTGAACAAGAAAAAGATCAATACATATATATCATAGAGTTTATTTAGAGAAACCATTTCTTCTGCATTTGTTTGACCCAATATCATTCGAAAACATGTTGTGAATGATGTAAATAAAGTTTTAAATGAACGTAAATGATCGACCAACTGAAGCGATGAAATCTGTTTATTCAAGTTTAATCCTTAGTTATTTATAAACCATTAACTTTTTGTTTGATGTGCTGACGACAATGTCGTTCGTTGATGTTAAACCCATACTCAATAAACCATCAACTGTGAAACGTTTCACAAGTTCTAACTTTTTATAATTATTTGTGTTCATAATGAGAATATCGGATTGTTTGTCATGTTTATATTTCACTACCAAAAATCCTTTATTATCTAACATTTGTACAGATAGTTTTGCTGACGAATTAATAAAATCAGGTGAAACGCGAAGCGGTGGATTTGTGTAATCTCGCCTATCATAGATGATTAGATAGTTATCATGTTGTATAATGCAACGGTGGTTATTGCCTACGATGGAAATCGGCGAATATCTTTCTTGTTTGTAATATAATATAGCTGTCTTTTCCAACGTATCCAAGCCCGTCACGTTCAATAAAACTGCGTTGTATTTATTACATAGCCAAAGCTCATTTTTCTGGTCCGGTGAGTGAATATACATTGTTAATAAATGTTTAATATCGTACTCACGCAGTAGATCGCCGATGTGTGAATAGAACGACAAACTGTCTACAACTTTTTCAAATGTAATTATATACAAACGAGTTACTGTCAAGCTACTAATATTCGTTTCGTTCTGTAACTGAAATTTTCGTCGACAGAACAACTTCGATATTGCACTTGATATGTGATAGATGGCAATTGCCATCTATCTATGCTACTATTGCCATCTATCTATGTGATAGATGTCCGTCAATACTACACACAAATATAGAAGCAGGTAGTAATTCGCGAAGTACACATATATAGTCTGGTGTGATATCAAAACTTTGGACCTCTAGAAATGTTCCACATATTTTTTTGAAAAACGAGTTTAATGTTCTAGAGCTAACTTTTTATGCTCTACACTTTGCGCATATTGAAATCTTTGCGGCTCGAGGATCATGTAATGGTGGGCGGACCTGAATGGAAGTACCCAGCGTCGATTGTTGTCTCATGTTATTTTTTCTTATATCGTGTCTGAATGGAAGTACACCGCTTCAAAAACCATAACTATTAATACACAAACGTAAAAGATAGTTCAATGAGAAAAAACCGAGGACCATATTACAAATTGCTTAAGTTGCTTACTTCAGTTTGTACTTAAGTTGAAAATTCAACTAAGACATACCTAAGTGCGTCAATTTCGAACGTGTCACAAAGAAAATTTAAGTCAGTCTTAATCTAAATTCAAGTCTAAACTCAGATCAAGTTCAGATTCTCGCAAAATATATATATAGAATGAATATCAGCATGAATGCCCTCGAACATTGGAGTCAATTATAATAGAATTAGCTTTTTGTGCACGATGACTTAATAACAGTAACTAGATAGGACAAGAATTTAAAAGAGAACGCCCTTAGATTGAGTAGAGAACGTTTTACATTTTTCGGAGAATGCAAATAAATTGGGATAGAAAAGAAACGCATTTTGAATTAAAAGTATTTAATTTATACTATTTTCTTAATTACTAAACATATCACTATACTGTAAAAAATGACATATTCAAAGAAAAAATAATAACCGTTTCCACAGAAATGTTTATTTCATTAATGCTAAATGTGCCTTTTTGTAACTAATCGCCCAGAATATAACCATAATGAAAATTCGTCATTAATGTATTCATTAAATAAATCATTATTGGAAAAGTTTTCAGCAAAAGACCACACTCTTCTTGTCATTTTTCGATATACAGTGGAAAAGTACAGTGAAAGATATAGTTGACTCGATATTTATATGAATGTTGTTTAGTCAGTTTTTTTGTGATTGCCTTATATGGTTATTCATTAGGCCGTAAGGGTACAATACATCAAATTTTTCTAAAATTTCTCGTTTGAAGAATTTATTCGAATTGCATAGATAGAGCAATGATAAAGCATAAAAGAGAAAAAAAGTACAGGTGGCCTCTGACTAGAATCGAACCAGCATTATATGCATATCATGACATACACCACAGAAACCGTATAGTAATATGTTTAGCAATTGAGAAAAATAGTATAAATTAAATATTTTTAATTCAAAATGCGTTCTTTTTTCTATTCCAATTAATCTGCGTTCTCCGAAAAATTCAAACGTTCTCCTTTCAATCTAATTGCGTTCTCTTTTAAATATATTTTCCCAATTAAATTACTAAAAGTACATAGTCACTAAAAGTAAAGTGAACATAAAGTATAATTATAAAATATATGTCAGAAACTGGTTTGACTAAGAAACAGTAGGAATACTTTTGTCAAGTCCCCAACTAGTGTGTGATGGAACGAAATGACTTTGAAATCGCAGATTGTAGTACAAAAGAGATCGATTTATATTATAGACAAACAAGTAAGTTTACTCAATCGTATATCTCTAGGTGACAATTTACTGCTGTACACGAAACCTTTTCGTTCCGTTTCTTTTCTTTTGTTGTCAGAAATGCAAGAGAAAAGTGAGATATGTGCAGAATATTAAAGCAAAGAAGATATCTCTTATTTGCTACAGCTCTAACGATATACAAACAGTCGAAAAAAAGAGAGAAATAATCGGCCTATATTATTTGATCAAACGTATCAATGCTAGTCCTGATACGATTGCGAACCGTCGAAAGAAACTATATCTTATCAGCATAATGTGCATGTAAATGTAGCACAAAATTCTCTAAATGATTTAAAAATTTTGAATGATCACGGTAATATGTCGTTAAAAGAACATCTGCAACAGCACTTGTTCGATCACCGAATATCGCCAGATTATGGATAGAACGGATGCCACAAATGAATAAAACTATGTGTGCAGCTTGATCTACTTGTAACACAGAATAGAAATTGGGTAAAAATCCGTATAACAATAAATTCCGTAACTTCGTCGCTTTGATATACGAAAAATCTTCTATCCCTCGCATTCTTCTATTAAAAAAATGCGGAAATGGTTGTGTTCTTAATTGATAATCAAGTTGTTTCCGTATGGCTGGAGTTAAAAAATCGGTGCTTATTTGTTTAACAACATCACGAAAATGACGTAATAGTGTGACATGTTGATAATCAATGAGAATTGAATGTGGAAGTGGAACATCAAGTATAAGTTCGGAAAAATACTTCTACCCAAATGACCATGGATATTTTTTCTGGTAACTTCTGCTTCCTTGGACTTTGATGCAAATAACTTCGGATCCCGAAGAACCACAGGTGGTTCATATAAATATTGACATTTTCGACAATTAGGATCATGATAACCTTTTATCAAACAAAAGAAACAGCAATAATATCCAACATGTCCAATGAAGTTGACAATTAATTTTAAAGCTGGACAGTCGCCAATCACACCAAAGTATTTTATATCAAATGACGTTGATGGATTTGGTCTAATTTGTTGTTTTTTCAAATTCGACAGCAT